CTCACTATCACAAAATTTAATAATATATTTCAGTTCAACATATATAAAAAAACATTTTTACGGACTGTACAATCCCCATTGATTATTTCAGTTCTTTATCACATAAATTATCGCCAGATCAATGATACATACTTATACCTAACGAGCCTTAAACCCAATTACAAGAAAAGTAGTTTTTCAAATATGAAAGAAAAAATAAAAATATGGAATGTAGTATATCTATAATTTATATTGAACATAAAGAAACAGCATATGTCAACAACCAATGAATAGTTGCAGATAAATTTATTACTGTTTCACATTTCTAGTAAACATGTTACATATTTCTAGTATTATTGTTGAAAATGGCATTATCGCAAAAGTTATTGTGAACATGGACGATAATTAGTTTCAATCCTGTTAAATGTTGGGGTCATCAAACTAACCTTGTTTGTGTTTTTGGTATACAATCTCAACTCAGAACAGTTTGGATTTATGCAATCAAGTCATTACTACATAATGGCCTTGCTAGAATCCTCCATGAAAGTAAGTTCAATTTGATTCAGAATGTTTTTTATTTAACAGTTTCACCTTTCTAAACAATAAAAATCAATACATACCGGGTGGCGAAACGTCAATTGCACACTATTACTATCTCGGTAACGGTAGATGATAAGATGTTGGTAAGTAATCTAAAAAATTTGAAATCTTTGATTTTGATGGTTATGCTCTGTATCTTTGTTATACAAAATATGAAAAAAGTGTGTGAATGTTTTTGATTGAAATTTATGAAGGCTACAATATGTGTTGTTTCTTCATTCTGAAAAATAATATTATGATACCTATTATGCATAATTGATTTTTGAATATTCATTCCATGTTTCAAATTTGTTTTTTCACTTCGTAATAACAAATGAAGTAATAACCTAGATATTGAATTAACTATAAAAATACAGGTCCGTATTTGAAAAAAAAATCATGAGGGTAGCCCTAAGTGAACGAAACTCCATGTGAAAAATTAAATGATTGCATATTGTATTTTTCTTGATCAAAAATATTAATTAAGCGTTGCTCCAGAATATATTTTTGTTACTCTAGAATGCATAAATCGCAAAAAATTATTTTGAATAATTAAAATTTTTGATTTATGTGACTCATACATGTGGCTTCACATCGTGCTTGCAAATCTCATCTTACTATAAATGAAAGCCTAATGAATCGCTTTTAAAATGTTTGCACATTATTTTGTGAAATATCCCATTGATAGTTTCTATTGAACTTCCTGAATAAATTCCTTGCTGTTTTTCAATTTTCAAATGTTTCAATCAGTTAAACTTATGATCATAAATATGATCTTCAAGACTGAATATACTCATTTTACTGATACTTCTGTAATTGCTCACGTAGTTTTTGTGTTTTATATATTGGAAAAGAAGTGTTTTTCTCCATTCAAATGGAAATTAACTTATTGAAAATGTGCATTGAAGGCAAAGACAGGTTATCGCTAAATTTTCATTCAAATAATGCGGCAGACCGTACAGCCAAACACTTTTTTATCATCAATCATTTTTAAGTTTTATCAAGATTTCAGTTTCGGAGAAGTTCACTCACTGTAAGATACTGTTATATTGAAGGGATAAATTTACTCTACTTTTGTGGTAAGACTCATGGATACTTCTAAAAAAGTTCCAAAATGTTTGGGAATATGGGATTTCATTTGCAACTTCTTTCAGATATAACCTCAAGTTATGTCTAACATGAGTAATAAAAGGTGATACTGGAACCTCTGGCGTAAATTAAATCCAAAACAAGAACTTTTCCGAAACACCAGAACTGCTATACTCTTCTCGACGCGCTTTTCATCAACCAAGTTGTCTTTAGACTCATTGAAACTCATTGTAGTCCGTAATATCATTGAGTTTTTCTCACTTTTTGTGAATTCGATTTTTGTTTTTTATGCATATTATTGTAGACATACTCAGGAAAGACGGAACATTCTTATTTTATGTATAACGGGACTTTCGGAACAAATAGTTTGATATCTATATTCAAGGCACCATAAAAAGCCGAAAATAATTAATCGATTTCAGTGGACGATAAAAGTTCTCCTTTAAACATATTGAAAGTACTTTTTCCACACCAAACAAAAAAACCGTATCTCAACGCGCGCTTCGCTAACCAAGTTAGCGCTAATCAGAAGACGACTAAAACTTTAGTCATCTCCTGATTTGTGCTTTGTATAATAACAATAACTACCTACATAATGATTAGTTCTTTCATTTTACCTGTGCAGGTGAAATTTATAACACCACAAAAGAACATTTTACTAACTCATTAAATGGACATTTTTTGCTTTGTATAACGACAATTTAAAAATATGAATCAAACTCCTTGACTTTTTTATTATTGAATACAGCTCTGCTATAATTGTTGAATCTATATTGTGTTGACACTATGAAGTAACAACCCAAACTCCACGTATAATGCAGGAATTTAAGAGATACTAGAATAGGAAATCATTAATGTTTTGACACAGGTAATGATTGAATTGGAGAGTGCATAAACTTACAATTAATTGCAAAATTACAGATTGTAATTGTAATCTATTTAAATTCAAATTGAGACTTTTTAAGGTTTTTAGTAATAACAAATGAATACAGACATTTCAGAAAATATATCTTCTGTTTTATGGAGGTTATTTATGATGAATAAAAAAACATGCGTTACAAAGAACAATATATTCGATAAGAAAGTGCATGTATTTTATTGTTCATAAAAAAGATAAGCGATTAGAACAAAATTTTAAACAACCAATTGCAATTGTAATAAGAAAACATTTTTGGAATTTTTTTTGCAAATATTAATTACAATAATAATAATCACACGTTGAAAGGTAAGACCTCGTTAATCCTTAGCTTGCACAAGTTTCGACTTCTGAGGGTTGTCGTTCGTAGGGGTGCGACAGCTGGTTAACGGAAAAACAGATTTTTTTTTATTGATAAACTAAACTACGTACTTTGTAGATATAAAATAATTACAACTGACTTTCTTCATTGAAAGATTGATTAGCAAATTTTCAACAATAACACTGAAATAAACTAACTCAAATTGAAAACACAGCTTCAAAAAAAAGTAAATAGGCTGATTTAAATCAAAATACATTATAATTGAGCTATAATTTGAATCCCTATAGACGTGCGTTAGGTCGATCTTCAACTGAACACTATTGCATCAAATGCTATGTTTTCAAAACGATTGATAGAGGAGTATTGCAGCGTAAATTCGTTATCTGCGTATGTACGAGTCATAGCCGGTAAGAAAATGAACAAACTCTATTCTGCATATTTATACAAAAAAATGTTGGAATCTTTCATAGAAAGGAAGAAAGCAATCAATTTCAAGAAGGTAATTCTTTATAAAGATGTGTAGATCATGTACGTAACTTTCAGACAAAAACTGGAAGAAAAAGCCCTCTGTGTCATCTTCAATGGCGGATGTCCGATGTTTCGGAATAAAGCACTTGTCTTATTGCCTCTTCAGCACCAATCTGGATAACATTACGAGATGAAGCACCCAATTCATTCATAAAATTACGACTTCAAATCTACTCATGTCATCGATGATAGTACGTGATGACCATATGCTAATGAATCTTCTTTGAATTGAAAGGGGTATACTTTTAGGCGAGATTAATTTTCAGAAAAGAAAGTGGACAGCCATAAATAACCTCTCTCTCCCAAAATTAATCTCCCCTCAAATATACCCCTTTCAATTTAAACCAATATTAGTGTTCTGAGTAGTTTTCCATCTACCAGTAACCAGAAAAACCCAAGCTTCCGCTTGATCAAAAGTAATCAACTGTGGAAATATGATGTGAATAACTATAGATCCGACATCAATAATATAATACAAGCCAGGCAGTATATTTTGTCAGTCATTTTCTGGTACTCTATTGTTCAATGGATAGATATCGCATTAAAAACTTACGTTGGGACTACTCACTAAAGAGGATAGAAACTACACTACGAGATTATTATTGTAACTGAACCCTCCATCGTCTTCTAACGCGCATCTAGTAGTCAGGACCACATCGAAATTTAGAAAGCACTTCTACATTAGTCAAGATGTACTTCGAACTCCATTTGAATTTGTAATATTCGAGTGAAGCAATCGTATTAACTCGAATTTTCAGCCAGAAATCTGTCAATTGAACAATAAAGTACCAGAAAAAAACTCTTAAAAAAATTTCTCATGGAAAAACGTAAATTTATTCGAAAAGAAAGTAAAAGGCTAGGTGGTACAATGTATGAATCCCAATCGGTTTTTGTTGAGAGATGATAATTTCCCAACGGAGAAAGAGCCCCGCATTTTAACTTCAGAATCGTGTTCTGCTCATGATTTTACGTGGAATATTAGAACACTTATCCCTTCTTTCATGAAATGAAACTTTCAAAAATGAAAAAAAAATGTACAAGAATTTTCTGATTGAAAATCGGTGATCTAACTTCCTACGACTTGAGAGTTATCCAAGAATCTATCTCCAATTATTCTAAATTATTTTTAAATGCAAAACTGCGATTTTCTGTTCTTTCACTGGTACCAAACCTTTTCAAACAATGGATTTTTTAAACTTCTTGTGTCAATGTCAAATATCACTATGCTGAAAGAATATGATATCAAAAACGGTACACAGTTGCGAAAACAGTTGCTTTGTTAGAAACGAGTAAAAAGATTTTTTTCTTATCTCAACTATCTGACGTTTGAGTATATATGTATCATTGACAATGGGTAAGCATTCACAATTCCGATTTCAAGGATACAATTACTCAGTGATAAGCAGTAATAAATCAGTAATAATCTTGTTCCAGATTTCGTCGATATTGACGCTGACGTTTACTACTGTTTCTGTTCCAGATTTCATCGATATTGACGCTGACGTTTAGTACTCTTTCTGTTAAAATGTGTGGAAAAATTCTGTACTTTGCCTTTGGAAGCAATTTGTCCACAAACAGAATGCACGTATGCAATCCGAATGCAGTTCGATATGGAATTGGAAAATTAAACGTGAGTTCAAACAATATTGGTTAAACGAAAAGATCCGTTATTGTATTGCTGGTTTCACAGGATTATCAGTTCCGGGGACTATAGTTCCAAAAAAAGGCAGCCACGTTTGGGGAGCAATCTGGGAAATAAAAAATGAAGATTTGGAGAGTTTAGACAGGTGAGTCAATCAAACAGGGAATTTTTGACGAATGGAATAAACTGTTATCTGCAGTTTTTCTAGTCGAGCCCGGCACTGATGAGGAACAAAGAGCGAAACAGTTGTCTGTCTCTTGTCTCTTGGCACTTTCAATTGAGGCAAAATTGCAGATGAATGGAAATTTCATGCTTTTCGTTAAGTCAACTACATGAGTTGATATACTGAAAACTTATTTTTTGATATCCTTATGTTGGCTATACTCCGGGTATATGCCTCATCTTTTCTGCTCACTGAATTATTGGTGATACCATCAAATAACCCAAATAGAAAGCAAAATATGTTATAAATTTCAATTACAGTGAAATACAATGATTTTTTTCCACAATTTCTATTTACTTGAACAGTTTTTAAATGATTCAATTGTCTGGTGAGATGATCATGGCTATCAGAGTTAACTATATAATGAGATATTTAAATGTTTATTATTATTTCAGTTGAAATAAGGAAAAATTGGTCTATAATTTTTAAAAGAGAATCTATGTTTAATAGGTTTTTAGGTTTATATAATTAATTTGTTGGCTCAGAAAAGGTAATTTAGAAATACATTTATTTTATTTGTAATGATTTCTACACATATTTTGTTGCAGTACAAATTCTGTGTTGAAATACACATTTAGTTTGAATAGTTTTGGTATATTTATTGCTTCATATTCTAGGTTTTTGAAGGTTTCGAATTGGAATTGACTGTTGTTCGCTACGTACTGATCAAATACTGCAATTTAGAATATTACACCTACATAGATATTTATTAATAATTTTGTGATGTATGATCCATTATTCTATTATTGGCGATATACCTACTCTTTCTCGAAATAGGATATGATTGACCACGACAGATTTTGGATCTCACCACCAGATTTGTCATTGAAGATTTTCTAGTAATTACAATATAAAAATGTTTGAGCAGCCAACTGGTATCGTCAGAAATTAATTCTACCTGTCAAGGTTCAATCAAATATTCCATTGAAGACTAGAATGATGAAATTCTATTAGTAACGTTTCTTCCAGGGCACTTAGTTTTATACACGAACTATTTTCTTTGAAAAAATAATTTTCAAACCATTTGTAAAAAAATGTTCTAATACCAATTTGGCTCATTTGGTTCATAATTAACTGCATCGAAAGCTTTACATAAATTGAAAGACAAAAGCCCACATTTCTGATCATCATCCAATTCACACTGGATTTTGATGTTCTAATGCTACATACTCTGTCATTGGACCTACGGAAGCCATATATTTTCTTGGATAAAAACACAAGTTTTTTCAGTTACGAGATTTATGTATTCATTGTTTCTGTCATTTTTAACAAAATTAATAGGACTGATATTGGGCAGAAGTTTTTGCAATTTTACGATTTTCCGGGAATAAGCCCTATTCAATACTAATAATATTGATCAATATGGTTAAAAAGGAGAAATTTCTGAACTAACTTGAAAATGAATATTCTTGCAATAAACAATTCAGAATTCCTTTTATTTTCATTCTTCTTCAAAAAAAAAAAGATTGGTTAAATAGATGGAACACATTGCAATTGACAAAATATCTAAAAATAAAAAAAAAAGTTTCCTTGAATATAGGTGGATGATATTTCTCCCTTGAGTGATCAGCATGTTTATAAGAATAAAAGTAGTGCAGTTTAGAATTGTAATTTTAGGTGAAACATAATTTAAGCTTTTGATAATAGTTATAACTTGTAAGGAAAGGTTTGATTCGACTTTTTAACAGGTACATAATCAACCTTGATTATGAAACTATTTACAGCATATCAATGAAAAAATGGTTTTTATAGTTCAAACTATAAAATATATTTTATACAAAAAATGAAAGTTTTATATTTGAGAATAAAAAAATTGCTATAAATACATAAAATATAATAGAAGGCCAGGTTTGCAACTGAACCTCGCTTCCGCGAGGTTTTGAAAACAAAAAAGAATTACTTGCCGTAACGTCAGTCATTTTATGAAAACTGAATGCTTATATAAAAATATCCAATAATTGATTTCATTTATGGCAGAAACTAAAAATTGAGGTATTTCGGCAGAAGAGTTCTCCAACAGTATTATAATTATTGGTTCAATGTTTTCTCCAATTTCCACATTTTTTCGTCTTTCCTAACCGCACAATGAATACATTTTTCCCAGTAATCTTAAGAATACTAAAGATACAGATATAGATTACTGTATTTTTCGAACGACATCCTCGCTATATCGAATTGAATTCACAATGATACCGATAATGGTAGTTTGAATTATCTATTACAATGACATATATTTTTGGGATCAAATCTTTTCCAGAACTATTCTTCAAAGACTTCGCTTAGAAAAAAAAAATTGAGGAGCCACCTTCAACGAACCTAGCATTTTGACACCGTGTGGCCATTTGAACAAGTTTCTGCTTATATCTTCTCTTACATGCCACAATATAATTGTACTCTAATAGAATACTATCCATGATAATAATTGAACAATTTTCATAAATATTTTTTACTCTAGACACGTTTCGCTAACCTCGTAGCTTCATCCGTGATAATAGTACCTACACACTGGACTACAATTCTTATATACGACAGTATTAGTTAACTAATGCGCATGTAGAATAAACATTTTTGTCAAATTGTTTGATTATTATCATGGATAGTGTTATTGATTTTCATCAAGTAGCAGGTCAGTCCATTTCTAATCTAATAAAATAGGTTTGCTGATGTAGAATTTTCATTGAAACACACTTGTTTGTTTTAACATCTTTCAAAGTCTGCTTCGGCTTGTTTTGGGATAATCCAGATCTTCTCGTACATCTGAACACATTTTGTCTACTTGGTATTTCTTTATTTTCCGTTTTTAGCACTTAACGTAACGTCTTATAACAATTTCAAGTAAGTGTGTTTCCGTTTAGAGAAAAATAATCAGATCTCGGCCCCTTAAAAGTTGTCGGTAAATTTTCCGTATTTGAATTTTCAGTGTATGCACTATTCTTCCTATTCAAAATTGTCAGTAATGGTAGGTTCTTATCAGCGCAGACAGTGGATCAGTGATTCAATAATTTTTCTGAAAAAGAGGTTGGTTGGGTAACAAGATCAATTTTTCCTTAAAAAAACAATTGTATTCTTGCCGAAGTTCCGAATTTAATTAAATTCTTCTTCAGGGCTCTGTAACAATGAATTTCATAAATATACCTTCCACAAAACTTATAGGATTATTACGTTTCAATTTCACAAGAAATAATGAGTTCTTAATTAAATTACACACCGACATTTGTGACAGCTTCCATATTTTTGAATTTGATCATCCAACTATTCGAGATATTCAACCTTATTTATCAAAGAGACTTTTGAGCGAAATGATACATATCCTCAAATGCGATAGTGTTAATACTAGAAGATGTAGATGGCCTTAATACTGCATATTTCAATTTGATACGTAAAATACCTGAATAATTTACACTTTTTTCATTCTTTTTCTTTCTGCCATTGATTAAAAAACAGACACCATCTTACTAGAATCACAGATATAGCCATTCGTTTGTTTCATGTCGTTTTGTGTTGGTGTTGTCTCAAAAATTTGTTGTTGCAATGTTTTTCATTTTTATTTTTTAAATACGTATCTAACATGTCTGATTGTTTTTAAAATAGTATTATCAATTGTGTGAGTAATTTAATTAATAACTCTTTATTTCTTGTGAAATTGAAACGATAATAATCGTATGCGTTTTGTGGAAGGAAATTCATTTCATTGTTACAGAGCTCTGAAGAAGAATTTAATTAAGTTTGAAACGTCGGCAAAAATACAATTGTTTTTTAAAGAAAAAATTTATCCTTTTGGGAAAGAAAGTTTTTGGCTTTCTACTACTCCATCTGATAAAAAAAGGGATTTTGGATATTAAGAATGAGGCAAGCGGTAAGAAGTGCTTGGAACAGCTGTCAACATTGTAAAAATCAAAGAGCTTTACCGAGAATCCCAATGATGGGACAACTACCCCCTTGCAGGATTGAACCCACAATCAGGGCCTTCATTAAAACAGGCGTTGACTATTTCGGACCTTTAGAAGTATCAGTCAAGAGGAGCCGAGAAAAAAGATATGGTGTTATTTTCACCTGTATGGTCACTCGAGCTATTCATCTTGAAATAGCACATGATTTGAGTACGAATTCATTTATCAATGNCCTTCAATTCAAATTTATCCTGTTACTCAACCAACCTCTTTTTCATAAGGCTCATAGTTCATCCAAATGAACCAAAATACACCAATGGATTGGCCCAAATTTTTAAAAAATTGAATAGAAAAGTGAATTTCTAATCTGCTCGTATACGAACAAGTATTGGGCAACCTGAAAAACCAGCCGACAGTAAGGAAAAATCTGGGATTTACGAATTAAGCTGTGGGGTTTGCGATAAAAACTATGTTGATCAATCTAAACGAACTATATCTCGCGCCAAGGTTTCATAAACCAGAGAAATCTAGTGTCTGAAAGTTCAGAAATTGAAAAAATATGTATTGGTATCGTTACATGAATTCATGGAAACACGATACGTTAATAAGCGTTCAGGAACGTACAATAACGAAGGCATTGATGTTTCAGCCCTAGGTTATGTTACCTTGATAGAAAATGGTCAGTTTCTGAATAAGTTGTAGATTACCTTTCATGCTTATCTCTTCTGTGGTCTAAATTTTTGTTCTGTTTAAGGCAAGAAGGTGTTCACGCTAACATCTACTACCCCATCACCGTGGACGTTGAAACTCCAGAGGGAAAGGTGTTACAGTGCCGATGCTATCGACAAGTTGGAAATGCCGACGACGTGAATCTTGAAAATTTGCCAGAGGAAAGAAGACCGACGCCTGCTTATTTGGAGACTATGATCAAGGGTGCCGAGGAATCTGGCATCCCCTCGGAATATATAAATTTCCTGAAAAAAATACCTCATAATGGGTCGGAGGTGAAGGGTGATTTGAAATTTCAGTATTAGATATAACATTGGCAAATAGGGTGTGGTTCAGAGTAAATTATATCGTGTATCAAATTTGAAACTTGCCTATGGAATATCGTCTGAATGAATAAAATATTAAGATATGTTAAAAACCCCTTCCGGTGGAATCAAACATTATATGAATCACTCAAGAAACAAAAATTAGAATGAAACCCCTCATGTGATATTTGGAAAGTTTTTCAAAAAAACTCTAGCAGTACCCGATATTGTGTATGTTATTGTCCAAACAACAAAAACGGTTGATAAAACTATCTAATACTATCTCTTATTAGGAATAAAATGTTACACTATAAAATTTTGAACGCGTACTGGTTCACCTTCACATAATTGCCGTTGCATGGTATATACATTTAATAACCTGATTGATATTGTCATAAAGTCATTGAAATTTGAAAAAATATATTTTTGGAAAAATAAAGTAATTTAGATTTATTTTTCTTCTATTATATAATCTTCGGTCTTTTGAGTGGGATAATTTTTGGACCTTAAAGTGGATTTGGAACTTGCAATTTTCAGAAAGCGGAAAATAGTTGGTCCAGCTATGCCCGTGAGGTATTCAGTTTAGTGAATGTAGAATCTTTTTTTCTTGATTTCATTTTGTGAGTTGGTATAATTTGTTTATTTCGAGAGGTACTATGGCAGATGGAATACAAAATTCGAATAGAAAAGAAGTAGTTAAATCTTTATACATATGGAATCTTCCAAAGAAAGGAAAGAAGCTATTAATTTCAAAATGTACTCTTCACGAAACAACTCTACGAATCAACTACGTTTATATGAACATTCAATTATAACTTGCCTTATTGCCTCTCCAGCACCATAAATCACTCAATTCATTCATTAAATTACGACCTTATGTCACGAATGAAATAAATTTATTCATGTCATTGATGACAATACCTATGTAATGACAATCATTCGCTCATTTTTTTTACCCTAGCCAATTTTGTTAAATCTTGTTTCAGCACACCCAGAAAATGTATTAAGGGTGATTTGACAGAGAAACAAGTTTGAAAATCGTTGGATAAAACGAGTTCATCAGAAACTGAATGTAGAATGAATTCAAATATATTTATTTTTTCTGAATTCCAGCCATTGCCTTTAATTGATGATAATGAATTTGAGAATCAATTGAAAGTGAAATAGAAGTATGAAAATTTTTTTCATGAAAGTATTGTCCATTGTAAATATATTAGGAATAGTTCAGATATCGCTGACATTAAAGATGACATCTAAGAATACACTGTACAAATACTTCAGTTTCCAAGTTGCAGCCTCACACCTTGCCGCTACGGCTAATTCCACTGGTGCAGCTGCTATGATTGCAGAAAAATCAAAATTTTGGAAATACTCCACTTTGCTGAGTTCTTACTGTTTCTTTCCTGTTGCTATTGAAACCTTTGGTGTTTTTGGATCTCATGCTTCTGAATTGTTGAAAGAAATTGGTAGAAGAATGATGAATTCTACCAGTGACAACCGAGCCTATTCATTTTTAATTCAAAGAATCAGTATCGCCATCCAAAGGGGTAATGCCACATCGATATTGGATACTCTTCCGTCTACTGAAAAATCAGATGAAATATTCCTGAACCCACAAATAAAATCAAAATTTCCTATGAACATCGCAAAATGGAGTAAGCAGATTGATCACTTCCCAATTGTCTCAGAAGATGCAGAGGAAAATAAACAAGTTCTGGAATTATCTTTCTCTCCCAAATTCGAAAAAACCACCATGAATATATCTGATTCAATTTCAAGAAATTTTACTTCAAATTCCTCATTCCGTTGGTCCAATGATGGGAAGAATCGTTGGATCCGTGATTACTGGAAAGAAAACAGCGGTGGCGAACGTATCACTAACAGCTACAACACAATTAGATCAGTGATACGTTCCTCAGTCAAAACCCTTGGGCTTAATGGGTTGAAAAATATTGGCAACACCTGTTTCATGAACAGTGTAATCCAATGTTTATTCAATACGAGATGGCTACTGGAATATTTGAAAAAAGATGAGTACATGAAAGATATCAATATTAATATTTCTAGTTCAGAGGGTGCTTTAATCAAAGCTTTTGCAGAAGTTGTCAAGGAATTGTGGTCAGAAAATTCATCTGATAGAGCAGTGAACATCGCAACATCGCATCAAGACGCCCAGGAGTTCCTTCGTTATCTTTTAGAAGGTTTACATGTTGACGTTAATAGAATTATTGAGAAACCTAAACCGTCCTCAACGGAGATAACCGAAAAATTGAGCGACAGCGAAAAAGCACAAAAGTCATGGCTGATTTATTTGAGTACATATAACTCTAAGATTGTAGATAATTTCGTTGGTCAATTCGTTGGTCAATGTGTGCACGATGAAGTGCACACATTGTGGACACTCATATGTAACCTTCGATTCTTTCTGGGATTTGTCACTCCCCATACCAGAAAGAACTAACTAATTGAGTTTATCACAGTGCCTGGATTTCTTCAATAGAGAGGAAACTTTGGATGGACATGAAAAACCGACGTATTCAAGTTGCAAAGAAAGAAGAAAATGCACAAAGTCTCTATCGATCCATAAGTTTCCCCATATTTTAGTTATTCATTTTAAAATATATTCTCTAACAGAAAGATTTAGAGGCAAGTTAAATGTTGCCATTGAATTTCCTGTAGATGGATTAAATATGAAGAATTATGCAGCAGATAATGTGACTCCTTGTCGTTATAATCTATATGCACTTTCAAATCACAGTGGGTCTACCTACAGCGGACATTATACAGCATTCTGCAGACATCCTTATAATGGCACGTGGCACGAATATAATGATTCACAAGTGTCACCAATTTCACCAAAATCGCTTGTGAGTGGAGATGCATACATACTGTTTTATGAAAAGGAGGAAACGAGTTCGCACCTTTGAGCGTTTTATAAAGTTATTTTTGAACTGTTCATTTTATTGTTATGTATGAATATCTTGAAAAATGAGAAATAAATAAAACGTGTTTGTTTCCAAGAAAAGCACTGCTCACTCTTTCATACGTTCGTTTCATTAACCAAGTTGGCATTATCGGGATATGAACTACTCTAATTCCGAACTCAAACCCAATAGGAAATAGTACCTTGTCGCTGTTCTTATGTCACACTTTGCTATATGCAGATTTTTGAAAGCATTCAAAGTGTCATTGCCTAATATGATCTAAAATAATTTCAAATCACTGAAAGAATCAATAAAGTTAAAATGAATAGCTGAAAATAACAGTTATACTAAGCAGAAAAAACCCTGAAATGAAATTACAATAAAATAAAATACCAGCAACAATTGAAAATTTAACATTACAAAAGAAATAAAAATTAGGAGATTTCAAGCCAAGTTATATCACGACATTTTGATTGTTAGTATTTACAATCGTCTTCGGGTGATGACTGGACTTATTCTTCCGAGAGATGACTATTTATAGGTCATTCGAGTGCTTTCACCTATCCCCTCTTCCCTCTCTTCGCTTCACCGCCAAACGATCAGCGGGAGCTGATCGTTTGGCGAAAGTTGGCCGTTTTCCGCTTGATTATGGATTTCCATATGTTGCGCATTTTTACGCTAGCTTGAGCGAATGCGTTGCAGGACAACATATATGCGGCTTCATTTGATGTTATTTTGATGAGTCCAAACATGTTCTGTTATTCCCGATTGGTTTCTCCTCGCATAACATCAAGAAAAAAATGTCCCGATAATATTTTCATTCAGAATACCACACCACACATTAATTTTCTGATATATTAGGTCTCTACAATTCACTATCCAATTTGGATTTTGTTCAGCCCAAAATCTCATGTTCTGGTAAAATACAACACCATTTCTGGTAATGATAGCCTCATCACTGTATAAGATATACTTTAAAAAATTCCTGTCATTGACATAATTTCCTACATCCATAAACAATACTCCATACGGCCGATTTCATCGTCTTCGTGCAAAGTATGTAGAAATTTGGGTTTGAACGCATGCATTTCATGCCTCCTCAAACAATTCCATATTCTACTGAGTCTCATATTGAGTTGAAGCGATAACTTTTGTTTGAACAAAATATTTAGAATAAAAGAAAAAACATTTCTGGCTGATAGACCCTATTATAATTTGCAAGAGTTCTATAATAATAAATTTACGTGACAAAAAGTGCATATTTGAATTCAGGTTATATTAAGATTTTTGTTTATATTTTTGTTTTGATATAAATGTTTGTTTGTCTGGTTCAATGGGTGTGTTTGTTTATGTAATATTATATATAAGTATATATGTGTTTATAAGTCTATTATATAAGTGTTGATAATATTTTTAAACAAGTCTGTACACAACCATGTTGAGAAAAAATTTCGATATTGAAGTATAGTGTATGTTCTAACTTTACTTTTTTTGTAGGTGTTTTTATATTAACATTTTATATTTCTATACTTACATTTGTAAGTACATTTCACAAGCTTTGTCCACAAGATTTATTCTTAATGACAATAAAGTATATTATTATTATTATCTTGTGATGCACTGATTGGAACCTTTGGTGTCTCGATCACCAAGTGATCACCTTCAAGAGGAAGATAAAACTTGTCGAGGTGTTCAAATAACAGTTTGGTGTTGGGAAAAACTCCAGTTTCTCCAAGGAGAAACCGCCAAATCGGGAATAGCAGGACATGTTTGGACTCATCAACATAACATCAAGTGGTCCTAAGCTGAGAACTTGATTGTTGTATTTCATTGTGATTTCAGTTTTTTTGCTTACTATAATTTTTTTATCTCTTTTTAATTTTTTACAGATTCTTTCAGGGATTTCAAATCAATTTATATCATATTAGACAATGGAAGTTTCTCAAACTAATTCCAGGATCATCTTGATAAGCCGCCAATATGGTATCATCATCAATATGTTGTTTTAAAATTGCAACAGTGATACAATAATACTAGAAACAACAAATGCAATGAAAACTGGTCTGGGGGTTAATATACAAAAATCTTTCAACGAATTTGTCAAGTTGACGGTAAATGTCAATAATAATAATAAATAATAATGTTTTTTCACTACTAACCTAAGAAATTGCTATTATTTACTCCATTCCCCTAACGAGAATCAATATTTCTCACCCTGGGTGAATAATGATAATAAAAAAACACCTAGGTAAATAATGAGAACAATTCTATAATTTCAAAGACATTCACAGAAACTTTTGTTAACTTAATTATCGACTAGAAGTAGGAAATTGAACATTGGAAATACGCTTGAAAATTATTTGAAATTATAATCAATTGTACAATTTTGACAAATCAGGCGGGGTGGGGTACACATCATCTCTAGATCATCGTCACTTGAATTTTCACCTATTTTTCAATTAATTATATTGACGTTTTACTTATATAGATCTTTTAACTTCTTCAAAATGACATATAAATTTGAATTAA